CCAAATAAACACATTTCATTACACCAAATACACAAAATAATGTTCTTTTTAGCAACATCATATGACCCCTTTAAGTTCACTTAAATTAGAAGTTATTTTTTTTTAAGTCCAATAAATGTTAAAATTCATAGCTGTCAATTATACTGTAATGCTGAATGGCTATAGTCATTGGTTAAATATTTGGAAAAATAGTTCCTAGAGATATCAGTAGAGTTGGCATCAGTGATACCTGCCTTCAGTCATAAAAAAAGATGCCATTAAACAAGTATTAAAAATATACTTTGTTGTTTCTACATTAATTTGAAGATTGAATGTGAAATAATTGCAATATAAAAGTATATTTAAAATTGCAAACGATGACGACACACACAAACCAGGATGAAGACGAGGGAGCTGACTCTGAGAGAAAAGCAAGCAATTTGGATGCTAAAAGAAAAGAGGAAGTCAAATAGAGCTACAGCAAAAACAAAGGGCATGGAGAAATCAAGCGTTTGGAGACCACTGGAGACATCAGCAGCCAACAATGACCTGATCAGCTGAGAAAAACAGCAGTAGTTGATGACAGACAAATCATAAAAGCTGTGAAAATGAACCCAAAAATACGTGTCTGTAAAATCATCAACAACCTCCAGAAAGCTAGGGTGATGCTCTGACAATCTACTGTCCACAGGAGACTTTGACACAGAATTACAGATGCTACAAACACAGCAAGATGCAAACCTCTGACCAGCACCAAAAATAGAAAGGCAAGATTAGAGTTTGCAAAAGCCAGTAGAGTTTTGGAACAGAGTTTTATGGACAGATGAGACAACGATTAACCTTTATCTAAGTGATGGGAAAGCAAAAGTGTGGAGAAAAAGGGAACTGCAAATGATCCCAAGCATACAGCCTCATCTGTAAAGCATGGTGGAGGTGGTGTCTCTGGAACAGGCCCATTCAATTTTAATGATGACTTAATGTGTGATGACAGTAGCAGAATGAATTTGGAAGGGTACAAAACCATCTTGGCTACCAATATTCAAGAAAATATCACCAGACTCATCAGAAAGCGTTTTATATTGCATCAGGACAATGACCCAAAACACCCTGCCAGTTCAGTCAATGAGTTTTATCAGGGAAAAAAAAATCAATCTCCAGATTTAAAACCGATTGAACATGAATTTCACCAGCTGAAGAGTAGACTAAAGGCAGAAACTCCCCAAAGCAAGCAACAGTTGGAATTGGCTGCCTTAAAGGCTGGGAAAAGCATTTCAAAGGATGAGACCAAGAGTCTGGTGATGTCTATGGGTCGCAAACTCACTGCTGTGATTGCACACTAGGGATCTGCAACAAAATAATAGCTTTTAATCTTTTACATTTGCCTCAAGTTCAACTGTCCCAATACTTATACTCACATCAGATAGTAGGATGAACTCTAAAAGTGCTGTCCTTTTTATTTGGTAAAACATGTATGTGTTGAAACGGCTAATAATAAAATATGACATTCTGTAGTTTTGTATCATATTCATCTTTTAATCATATTTGCAAATGTCTTGACTCCACAGCAAACAGAGCAATTTTGTCTTTACTGTTCCAATACGTATGGAGGGCGCACTGTGTATATATATTACACATATATTTCTTATATATACATTTAAACAAATAAAAAAATTGTTTTGCTCCAGATTAGATTCGCTGAGGGAGGTGCACAGGGCACGGGAGGCGGAGCTAAGGAGGATGCAACTGGATATGGAAATGGCCAAGAGCTCATTGGAGAGCCTTGAAAACCATGCTGCAGATGAGCAGCTGCGGTTCTACCGTACCATGAATGTATTCTCACGGAACCTACTGGAATGCCTGTCTGAGAAGGTTAATCTTTGCTAAATTAACCATGTACGTAATTTAATATAACTATATACAGTTTATAAAGTATTGGCGGTATGCTTTATTTTTCAGATGGCTTTAATAAACTCTGTTGAGCTGGACATGCACAGTCTCTATATTGACCAGGCAGAGGCACTGATGAGTCAAAGAAGAGAAGCACTACAGGAGGAGTCTTCACGGATTCAGAAGTTAACCTGTAAGATTACAACTGACTACTGCCTTGTAGTATGTAATATTTTGTAGAGGACACTTCACATCTTATGCCCACTCATGTGATTATAATGGTCATATCTTCCATCTATCACAGGACTAAATGCACATTCATTCATATAATATTGTGTATTGTGGCTGTCTCATAGATAACACTGATTCACACAGCAATGGTGACACAACCGGAGGCTCTAACCCAACTTGGCAGAGGTGAGATGGATTACTATATTTGCACTTTCACCATTACTGACTGTTATTGCTGTAAATACTGCATACGCTAAGCCTGACATTTTGAAACTCTATAGATTACAGCCTTTGGAGGCTTTCGGAGATGCTCATAATCTGTAAATTACAGCTGTCAAAATCATTTATCATCAGTTGTTCAATTCCCTATGTGTTTTCATGTCCTAGCTTGTCTGAAGAAGACATTGGGTGTGTGCCGTGTGACTGGGAACCTACGGCTGAGCAGCAGGCAGAGCTACAAAGTAAAAGAGGTGTGAGAGGCTTCATGGAAGCACAAATAAGATTATTTTTCAACAGTGTCGTCAAGAGTCTAGAAATACTTTTAAAATAAAAAGACCACGTCCATACTTGCATTTAGAGTCCATATCAAATATGTCACTGCATCTATAACTTGGATTCAATTTCAGATGATCTACTGAAAAAGGCACAGGAAGTGTTTGCAGATGTTCAAACAGACTTCTGGGATGTGAAGAAAATCCTCTCTAGATTTGATGAGTGGCGTGTCTCCTTTCAGGGCTCTTACAGTAATGCCTACATTGGCCTATGCCTCCCAAAACTCTTGGCACCCCTGATCCGACACCAGCTTATTGGCTGGAATCCTCTTCAGGTGATCTATGGCTTGTCTACAGTGTATTGTATCAGAATTCATTACAGGGAATTCTGAAAAGATTCATGGCAATTTTGCTGTTCTATCAGATCTGTGTTTGGATATGAAACTCCTTGTTTTAGAGTTTTAGCTTTTTCAGATTTCCATCAAGATCTGTGGATCAGTATAAATTCAGGATATGACAGTAATTATTAAAACATTGTGATTAATAAATATGCTTAATGTTATAAATATTACATCTTTACAGCTTACGCACATCACATATCACAGGTCTACTGGGTATTTTTATGTATTGGTAGTTTTTTTTTTATAAACCATATTTCTTCAACTGCATTACACATTTGAGGGTGTTTATTCAACAATTTGTTATACGTCTGACAGATTATTAAAATTGCAGCACTGTGCATTGCTAACACTAAAAGCAGTGTCACAATATACCGGTATTAATAATAACCAATTAATCAATTAATGATATTTAAGTAAATATTGTATTCATACTATACACAGTATATATACTATACTGTCATTAAGTACTCACCCTCATGTCATTTCAAACCTGTAAGACCTTTATTCATCTTTGGAACACGAAGATGATTTTGATGAAATCTGAGAGCTTTCTGACCCCCATAGACAGCAACGGAACTACCATGTTCAATGCCCAGAAAGGTAGCAAGGACATCGTTAAAACATCAGTGGTTCCCTTACTGTCTATGCGGCTCAGAAAGCTCTTGGGTTTCATCAGAAATATCTTAATTTGTTTTCCGAAGATGAACGAACATCTTGCGTGTTTGGAATGACATGAGGGTTAGTAATTAATGACAGAATTTTCATTGGATAAGACGACGCTGCCTACCATAATCGAGAAGACAATCCTCTCTAAAGTTCAAGGTGACTATGGCATTTGCACATAATTGCATTAACAGCTTTATAACACCCATCAGCCTGCTGCATTTTACATTGAATTTGGGAACAGAATGTTTCAGAGAATCATTTAATATCATGCTTTTGGTTTTAATGTACTATTAAGCATATCAGAATGTCTTGTTCTGGCTGTCTGATTGCTGTCATTGCAGCATTAGTTTAGAAGTGCAGAATGAAATCCAGAACTAATTACCTTATTAATATGTAGCTTGTTTTTTGGCAGGTTTCGTGGAGCTGGTGTGGGACCCTCTGTCTGCGCAGCCGTCTCAAACCCTCACGACACTGTGTAAGAGAATACAGGATGATTACTCTGTATTTGATGGTGAACGAAGCAAACCTGTCAAGGTATTGTCTTATGATGTATTAAAACTTGTAACTTCATGGATGTAATGTCAGTAAATATAATCAGCTTGTGATTTCATCCTGCAGGCTTTTGTAGAAGCAGTTATTCAGAGGTTAAGGAGTGCAGTAGACAATGACATCTTTGTCCCGCTGTACCCAAAAAAGTAAGCTGACTAACATTTTAAAAACTCTGTGTGCTTTGCTCGATAATTATTGTATTCAGATGTTTGCGTGTGATTGTCAAGTTGTTGTAATGAGGTAATCAAGACATTGTGCGTTTTGCTAAGGTTTTTAGAGGATAAACGGTCCCCACAGTTCCAGTTTCAGAACAAACAGTTTTGGTCCGCAGTGAAGGTTTGACATTTCACTTCTGGTCATGTTGTGACTGTTAACATGCCCTTGCTGTTTCTTTATATATTTCAAAAGTTTGGGGTCAAGTTTTTTTTTTTTTTTTTTTTTAGAAATTAATACTTTAATTCAGCAAAGATTAATTACAAGTATTGAATGCTGCTGAAAATTCAGCTTTAAAAACACCTATTTTAAATTGTGAAAATATTTCAGAATATTGCTGCTTGTACTGTATTTTTGATTTTAAAAAATGCAGCCTTGGTGGGCATGAGACTTCTTTTAAAACCATATGCGAGAGTTCTTTCAAAAACAAAAATCCTACTGAACCCAAACTTTTTGACGGTAATATACATTAATATACAGTATGTTCATGAAATCAAACTAATGTTTAGGGTAAAATGTTTCTTAAGTTTGAATGCTGATTGTTATATGAAATCTTTGTGTTTTTCAGTTGCTTGGTAACATGGCATTATGGGATGGTTTGATTCCTGAACATATTCTCAAAGAGCTGATGTTGGAGAAACTTCTCAGCCGTTACTTGATGATAACTGTTCTTAATGAATCTGATCCAAAACACACCATCCAGAAATGCAAAGAGGTGCCTGTACTTTTTAGGTTGTTCATTATAAAGGTAGTTCAAAGGTAGTAAGGTAGTTCATTATAAAACTAACTTTTATTCTTCTGAAAAGATTGCAGGTTGTTTTCCAGAATCATGGTTTATTGATGTGAACACTGGACCGTCACTACCTCAGCTGCAGAACTTCAGCAAACATCTTCTTCAGACCGCTCATGCCTTATTTAAGGACAACAATGACTCCAGCAGCACTCGGTAATGTACAACAGTGAACCTCAGACTAATGTATAGTTATACAGCAGTCCTTTCACAATATTTATGCTATTAAATAATGATTCAAAAGTATAATAAATTGTTTCAGAATAATATGGGATTTGTAAGAAAAGGAGTCAAATTATTTATTATTTTGTATAATAGTTCTAATACTTTTTTTTTCTCCCCAGGGCACTTTTATCTGATGTGCTGTTTGTCCTGAAGAACATAAAGGCACATGACAGTATTAGGACTATAACAGAAAAATATCATTGTGAGGATCTGTTAAAAACTCTCCAGTAGCAGCCATCTTGTGTCGGCAGCATGTTTTTGTATGTTTTTAAGGTGCTAAGTCACTTTGATATGTGTGTGGAGTGAATAAAATGTTTTATTTTGGTCCACATGGTTTTCATTTTCCTTTACCTTGGTCAGAACTGTCATTTATTCCTGTCAGAAAAAAAATGAAATATTTTACAATTCCACAATGTAGTTATTTTTATGAAATGATATATGGTTCTCATTGTACTTATTTATGCATGCCACATATATTATGGTCTGACATCTCTGGAACATATGTCCCAAAAGAGCGGTTTCCTGGAGTTGGAATAATTCTTGCCTTGGATCAAATATTACTGGCTTAGACCAAGATGTACCATTCAGAGTCACCATGAATGGGAGAATTCCTGTTGTGACGTAAACTCGGCCTTCCAAGAAAAAAATCTCGCAGATGTTTGAAACTGAGAAGCTATCCTGCCATCAGTATAACTGATGTTCATCAGCTGGGGAAAAAAAATATTCTGAAAGTGATTCCAACGATATTGTTTCTCTGTGCCTTTATCGTTATAGCTGTAGTGTGGACTCTGCTATTCTTTAATATTAAGAACGTTTTTTACAACTATATCGTTATCGTCCTTGGTGTGAACGAGCCTTTAAAAGGCAACTCCACCCTTTACACCCTCATGCCTCCCACATGTGCAGTATGTACTTTGTACTGTATCGTATAGTATAGTAGTGTGCTTTTTCTTCAGATTAACACAAAGACGGATTTTTAGAATCCAAATAATACAAAATATTCCATCTCTCTGCCTATAATGCAAGTGCACAGTACTTCATAGATAATGCTTCCCAAAACTACAAAGTGAAAAACTTTTTTCAAAAAATGTAACTTGATAACCGTAATATGCTTCACCAAATTTGAAGCCAGAAATTTCAATAATGAATGTTATAACTGAAGCTGTAGCGCAAAACAAACATCACTGGTTCTCACATGTCAAGCATGCATGTTTGAACTTCCATTTACCATAATTTTCCATGCAATGGAAGAGAATAAAATGCTTTTTATGCAATTTCACTTTGCAGTGAGAAGATAAATCAAGAATCTCTTTTGTTTTTATTTTTTGCTAGGTTACTTCAATTTAAATTAAACAAGTGACAGGAAAACATTTTTGTTACAAACGTTTTCTATTTCAAATAAATGCTGTTCTTTTAAACTTTGTATTCATCTAAGAATCCTGAAAAAAATAGATAATGGTTTCCACAAAAATATTAAGCAGCACAAACGCTTATCAACACTGATAATAAGACATAGCATAAAAGACTTCTTTTAAAACATAAAAAATTACTGTAGATACACAAGTCATACAAGGGCCAGAATAGAGACTTGGGGATGGGCTTTATTCTGCACAGCCTAGCAACCACATAGCATGCTAAAAAAAACACTTTAGCAAACAGATAGCAACACTCTGGCATTTATGCAATGAGATTTGCACGGGCAAGCATCACGCATCCAGAAAATATACAAGTCTGGTTATATTTTATGGGTCTTTTTATTTCTCAGTAGAGACTCAATAAATAGGTTTATTGTTTAGTTGTGGCTTGCTTTCTTCCTGTGCATGCTTCAGTTTATGAGGATGACATCATTACTGCTAAACCAAACAATGGCATTTTATTGAATGGATCCTCAGAGACAATCCAGAATGCATGTCTAACAGGCCAGTCCAACCAGATGTTTACATGATAAGAACATATTTACTTCTTGAATATGTGTGGCGATAGAGATCCTCAGCATTTGACACAGAACTCTGAACATTTCAGCATTCGAGTTGCACTATAGTCACTGACTGACCTGTGCAGACGTGAATATCTCACTGTGAGAATGGTAGATCTCTCACCTCTCTACAAGTCCGTCACTGCACTGTGAGGTTTGTTTCACTCTGAGTATTTCTCTTTGATTCTACTATGGTGACATATTTCATGAAATGATTCCATAACTGTCATAATGCCAACCAGAAGCCTCTTGAGAAACTGTATGCAACAGCCCAGTGGAATTGCTCCACTCCAAAGATAATCTTGTTCACGTGTGCAATATTTACCTTTATTTCCTTTGACCCTTGAAGTGGGGCTTTGCAATCTTAACAATCGGATGAAAAACTAGCAGGAAAGATCTGTTAAATGGGGAATGAATAAAGCGAGTATGGTTCAAAAGTCCTAATTGAAAACTAGGATTTAAAATGTCATTTAACCCTGGAAATAAGTACAACTAAACCAAGCATTCAGCATCAACATAAGATGCTCTTTGTAAAATTTCAAATGTGACCCTGGACCACAAAACCAGTCATATAAGGGTCAATTTTTTTTATGAATTTAAGGCCTTAGCAATGCTTATTACTAATAAAAAATGAAGTTTTGATATATTTACTGTATTTACAAAATATCTTCATGGAACATGATCTTTACTTAATATCCTAATGATTTTTGGCATAAAAGAAAAATTGATCATTTTGACCCATACAATATATTGTTGGCTATTGCTACAAATATACCCGTGCTACTTATGACTGCTTTTGTGGTCCAGGGTCACAAAGAATGCTGGATAACATGATCATCAGGTTTTGTTGTTATGGATGTGAGACTGTGAAACAGGAAGCAGAATTGGTGTGAGACAAAAGGCTAACCACATTTATCTTGCATTTAACAGTTGGTTGACAGTAGTCTCTGTTCAAAATGTTCAGTCATGTGATATATCACATGAGTTTCCAAAGTTTTGAAGTGCTGAATCACATCTGATACAGCAAAATCAATATGATCAGGAGTTCCCGATCAGCTGTGCTGTAAAGTGTTTCGTCATGCTGAAAGAGGTTCTGCTAAGTGATATATCACAAGACAGATGAGATCTCTATTGGTTGATTCTGATACACAGGGGTTCTGTTTGTTGTCTTCTCCCATACCTTTGTCAGTTACAGTTCTGGAGTTCATCTGATGGTCTCAAAGCTGAATATATTCTAAAATATCAAATATGCATCCAACATTTTCATTTTCCAGAAACTGCAACTCCACATTTCAAATGCTGTAGCTTTTTGGTCACATTTGAAAAAACTTGTCATCTATGTGTTGGATGGGAAACCTGGGGGAAAATAAGTTGAAGTTATTTGTTTTATTTTTTTTGAAAGACATTAACACTTTTATTCAGCAAGGATGTATTAAATTGACATTTATGATGTTACAAAAGATTTGTATTTCAAATAAATGCCATTTCTGTTCATCAAAAAATCCTGAAATGCATCATGGTTTTCACTAAAATATTAATTTCAATATTGTGTCTTAAGCAGCAAATCAGCATATTAAAATGATTTCTGAAAGATCATGTGTCACTGAAGACAAGTAATGATGCTGAAAGTTAAGCTTTGTTGTCACAGGAATAAATTACATTTTAAAATATATTCATATAGAAAAATTTCAATTATAATAATATTTCACAATATTACTATTTTTACTGTATAGCTAATAAAATAAATGCAGCATTGGTGAACATAAGAGACTTCTTTCAAAAACATAAAACTCTTTTCAATAGGAAATTCATGAAGACAGGAAAGAAAACGCTCCAGTTACTCACGTAACCTCGGTTCCCTGAGATAAGGGCGTCGTCGTTTGACGACTGCTTGGGGAAACTCCTGTTTACTCTATTACTGAAGCCTGATTGGTTAACGTTTGTGTAGCTACACAAACCAATGGTGCTCGAGCCTGCCAGAAGGGGAGGAGCCGACCACTATATAAGTCGGCTCGGAGCGGCATCTCATCAGAATCATATGACTGAAGCGACAGCTATCGATTTGCGTGCAGCTATAGCACAGCCAGCTATGCAACGCTCGTTCCCTTATCTCAGGGAACCGAGGTTATGGGAGTAACTGGAGCATTCCCTATCGAAAGGTAACTCCCGTTGCGTCGTTGTTTGACGACTGCTTGGGGAACGTATCCAGTAGCACCGTGCTATAAGCAGATGCAGAACTCTGCGAGCTCAGCCCAGGAAAACTCAGCGAGGGCTCCATAAGCCTGAGCCTCAAAGAGACTCGAGAACGTTCTGAGGTCTACTTGAGATAACTCTCCCCACCTGGGGGGGCGGGGGTAAGCATTAGGCTGATAAGACCCGTGCCTGCAGGGACGTCCAAATTGTAGAATCTAATAAATGTAGATGGCGACCACCAGCCGGCGGCCGCACAAATCTCCCCAATAGAGATTCCACTGGACCAGGCTCAAGAGGAGGCCATTCCTCTGGTGGAATGGGCCCTCACATCTAAAGGGCATTGCAAGCCAGCTGTGGCATAAGCCAGAGCTATAGCATCTACTATCCAATGAGATAGTCTTTGCTTTGTGACAGGCAGCCCTTTAGAGCGACCTCCAAAGCACACAAAAAGCTGCTCTGATTGTCTGAAAGACTCTGAGTGCTTAATGTAAACTCGCAGTGTTGGGACCTTGTTCGCCATCCATTCCAGGGAGGGCTAAAAGGAAAATGATCTGGGCTCTAAATGGAGTTGAGAGCACCTTCGGTACATAAGTTCGGCTTGCAAGTCCCCTACTCGCTTGACTGATGCCAGGGCCAAAAGCAGAGTGGTTTTGAGTGTCATGACCCTTAAGCCGGCTGTTTGAAGCGTCTCAAAGTGGGAGCTCTTGAGAGCTCTCAGGACTATAGACAAGTCCCATACTGACACCGTTCTAGGGCGAGGAGGGTTTAACCACCGAGCGCCTCTAAGAAATTTAACGACCAAGTCGTTCCTGCCAATTGTCCGGCCAGCCTCGAGAGAATTATTCGCCGCGATGGCTGCCACATAGGCTTTGAGTGTGGAAGGGATGTGCCCCTTATCCAGCAGCTCCTGCAAAAAGGTTAGCACATGGGACACGTCACATGATACCAGATCCTGGTTCCGTACTGAACACCAGTCACTGAAGACTGACCACTTGAGGGCATAGAGGCGTCTTGTAGACGGAGTTCTAGCCTCTAAAATGGTATTAGTGACTCTATTATCTAAAAATCTCTATTATCTAAAATGGTATTAGTGATTAGTTGGCTAGACTCCCGTCGAGTGGCCATACATGAAGACTCCACAGTTCCAGCTGGGGATGTCAAATCTTGCCCAGCGCCTGCGAGAGAAGGTCTCTCCTCAGTGGTATTGACCA